GATCCATTTCCAACCAATACATAATTTTTCAATGATCTTGGAGGAAGTGGTTCCAACTTGCCTGATTACTAAATTATCGTGCTTGTTTTTAGTTTGTGGGTTTATGATGTATTTTTATTTTAGTACTGTGTGATGTTGTATTTCATTTCAGCACTTGTTATTTAAATATTTTCCTATATATCGTAATGTATCACGTATTATTGTTATTTCAATCTATATTAGTAGTGTTGTTGTTATTTAATGTTAGTGTTTTTTTGTTCTTGTTAAATAAAAATACCATAAATAATATGTATATTTTGCATTGTTATTGTGAAATATATAAAATTAAATGATAACTATAATATTTATTACTTTAAATATTATACTATCTAATTTGTATGAAATAATTTCTTTTACTATTTTACATTATTATTGTGAAAAAATTAACATTAATATGTATAATTACTCTATTATGAACAAATATAAAATAATATGATATTAATTATATTAAATATCATATTATATAATTTTCACGAAATTAAAAAAAAAATGTATCTTTTAAACTTAATTTTCAATTTAAAAGATTGTTTATTTTATTTTTTACTATTTAAAAAATAAAGAAAACTAAAAACAAAAATCAATTTATAAATTAAACAAACTTAAAGGATCAAAATGTTAAAAAAAAAAAGATGGAACGCAAAATTTGCGTTCAGACGCAAATATGCGTCAATCTGAAGAGAGAGAGGGTTGAGATCGCAATTTGTGATCGGTTTTTGGCATTGGTTGGAGCTCCCCGTACTGCAATTTTGGCGTTTTGCAGTATGGTTAGAGAAGGTCTAAGATCCAAAATATATTCTCAACAAAAGCAAGAGATTATGAAGGAGAAAATTACCTCCTGAACGACCCCCAACAATTTTTATTGCATATAAACTATCCAGATATACTATTTAGCAAAAGTACTAACCTGAATATTTTATTTGTAATTCTATGAACATCAATTTCCGTGTTTTAAATTTTTTAATTAAGGATGAATTACGTTTTATTTGGATAGTGACGGATTTAGTGCTAATAATGGACTAGATCAAAATGACTCAATTAAATTCTAGTGCTTCTTCTATTAGTGAAGTTTCTAGAAAAAAATATATCAAACGACGCAATGCACCTTGGGTCGCTACGGAAACATCCTCCTTGTATAATTACAAGGGTAAGGTCTGCATACAACTGACTCCCCAGACCCCAACCAGTTGAGAATATACTGGGTATTTTGAGTGACGGATTTAGTGAGATTTGCATAGGAAGTTTTAAACAAATTTATACCTTTCTCTCTCCTCCATTCATCGTCCTCATCTGACTATTTTCTTTTTCACATCCTCTCTGTTTCCATGGACATCCGCCAACCGCCTTTTCTTCTCCTTCGGCGTCTTTTTTATTTTCTTTTCTTTCTGCAAAAAGAGACGCTAAACAAGATTCTGATTCTGTTCAAGGCGAAGAAATCGACATGGACGAGTGGAGTCTCGACGAGAACTTCGTTGAAAGTGAGAGATGGAGTTTAAAATCCCAATCGGCAGCAGATGTTGAAGGAGCTTTCAAGCCGGAGATACGGTGGATCCCTGCAGTTCTTTTTTGAAGAGACGATGATGGACTCCGGCAACCCCGCTTCCGGCGGGCAGTGGTTCGCTTGACTTGGAGACGAGTGGCTGCGGCTATGGGCTCGTCTCGGGAATGCAGAGTCTCAGTACGCGACGGCAACCCTGCTTGTGAGCAGCGGCGACATTTGGAAGAGTTTCGATCGGATTGTTTCAATGTTTATTTTATGTTTATGTATAAGTTATGTTTAGTATATTCGTAGATTTTTTTGTTGACGAATAATTTGATATGAGACGAAAAATGATAAATTTGTTTTTTTATCGGTTGATTATTGTTTATGTTGCTTTGGATATTCATTTTGACGAACACTTGGTGTGCTTAAATCCGTTTTGATGAATAACTTGGTATTGCTTTGGTATTCATTTTTTTGTTGAGGAATAACTTGGTGTTATTTTGGCCATGATTTAATCCGTTTTGACGAAAAAATTCTCAGAGGATAATTGTCGAACAACTGATGTGCTTGATTCGTTTATAGATAGTTATATTTTGTATATGTTGCGGGTTTATACAGTATATTTTCAGTATATGTTTCCGTCATAGTAATGTAGCATCCTTCCAAAACGAAGACATGATGAGATTGATTCAGTCCTTAGGCAGAAGAGAACTACATATATACAGAATATATATACCACAAATATACTCTATAAAGTTTTTAAGAACAATCACATAAACAGTATATATATACGACAAATATACAATATATCAGTAATGCTCCCATACCCACGGTTGACACATGTTAATATATCTACCGCTTATGTGACATGCACACATTGGTGGTGTATTTTTTTGAACATATTAACACCACCAATGTGTGCATGCCACATAAGCGGTGGGCATATTAACATGTGCCCACCGTGGGCAGGGGAGCGTTACCATACAATATATATACAAAAAAAATATACAGTATATATACTAAAACTAACACAAACATACTCTATAACCATTATATATACGACAAAAATATACAATATATATACCAAAAAATATATTGTAACTCGCAAGCAGACACACAAATTTCTTTTGGACTTTCGTGTTTTCCGCCGATGGGTTCCAATGAGACCTCTTCAGCTCAGAAGCGAACATCGAGCGCGCTTCTGACGACCAGCTTCGCCACGAACAGCGCCGCCCCGCCTCTGCCCTCCCTCTTGGAAGGCAGATCCACAAATCCTGCAACAACATCAAGATCACGATCCTCTGCAGCTTCGTCACCATCCTCATTCTTCGCAGAACAATCGGGCTGAGCAACTACTCCTCCTATGACCAGGCCGAGAACCAACACCTCATCGAGAAAACAACTCAGATTTTTGCTGAGATCAATCTAGTCATCTTCAGAGCCGTCGTCACGCAGGGAAATCGCCCTCGTCGACATGGCCGTGTTCAATGTCTTCTTTCCATGTTTAATAGATATTTTTTTTCTTTAATTGCGATTGTCGCCGAGTTTAATAGATTTTTTTTTTTACTTTTATAATTATTTGTAAAAATCTCGCGTAGATGCTACTAATATTTTTTTTTCAAACCGCACGTGTGTAATTATTTTTCATTTCATTCAGTAGAGGTGTAAATTACACATGATGAAGATAGGCTCTTACACCACCAAATTCTGCAAAGTTAAACTCAACACATAAAAATGATGGACCATAAAAGCCCACCCAAAGTGTTCTGCATCTTCATCTTCCATCTCAATCAACCATAATTCTTTTCTCTCTTTTCCCATACAGCTTCAATCTAAACTTTAGATAATCGTCACACTGAAGCACTTCAATTCCGCATATATAATATATATATATTTTTTTCTTTTTTTTCCCTCATAAATGAATAAGTAACCCTAAGACAAATTTTACACAGCACAAGGATCCTCAAGCCATGTCCTAAATCCCCACCAAGTACAAATTCACCAATCGATACAGATAAAACCATTCCCCCAAATCTTGAATTCCTTAACCCAAACCACACCAACGCCACGTCATCAAAAGCCCACAATCCAACTCGAGCAAAATCCATGGATAATTTACTTTTTTTTTATTATTATTATTTGTTTTTATCAGACATGGTTTTCCTGCAGGTGCCTCTTGTGATCCCTTTCCGAATACCTCCCTAGCCCATTTCTATCCTCCGGATAATGAGCCTGTTTATGGGCCGACGCCTTATCCAACGGGCTTCCGGGCTTTCTTTTCCGTGCGCTCGACTGATGCTCCCTCCCGTCATCAAACACTTCCTCCACTTCACCCTCCTCAACACCATCAAAATCAACCCCGGCAGGCTTTGACCAGTTTGACTTTTTCTCCTGTTTATCGGTCGGGACCTCGACATCCTCGAGCTCCCGCTCGAGCTCATCCACTGGGTCCGCCTTGCGAGTTATGTCCCCGGAAGCTTTCCTCCTCTCGTAAGCTGCTTTCAGCTTCTCACGGTCGAGCTTCTTGTTCGCATCCTGGGGAGAGGAAGTCTTTCCTTGGAATTTATCCTTCCTTTCTACTGGGTTGTTATTACTAATTCTACTAGACTCCCTTCTCTCGGTAGTTTCTTCATTAACATCAGTAGTTTCTTCCTTGCCAGCTGGCGGCGTGGTGGTGCTGTTGATCTGTGACTCATTTCGGGCCTGGGCGGGCTTGGGGGGCCCGTTTTGGCCAGGGACGGCTTTGGGCTGTCCGGGCTTCAAGGAAGACTGCTTTGAGGTGGACCCACCGTGGGAGGAACTGTGGGTAGGGACATGATCGTCATTTTTAGACGGAGGTCTTTCGCTGGCACCGGCACTGCCTTCAGCCTCACCAGCTTGAGACTGAGGCACTTTGTTTTGTTCGTAAAGTTCCAACATCTGGTTGCTAACCTCTGCAAAAACACAAAAGGGTAAGACCGTAAATGAACATTTACTCATGTAGGATGTAAAATGCAAGTGAATCAATTGCATCATCTTGGGCCATTCTCCTTTTCTACTTTTTCAGTCAAGAAAGGATATTTAGATTGAAAATTAAGCAAAAGACAACAAAAAAAATTCAATCAACCAAAGCATGCTGTCATTTCCAGATACAGTACATATGACATCATCATGATGGTGTACAAGCATCGTAAAGACACCCACCCTCCAGCTGGCGGGGGGTGACGTCAAACTCCTGCCACCAGACCTTCTCACCATCATGCGGGAGCTTCACCTTCAGGAATTTGGCGGCAAGGAAAATGGCACCCGCCGCTATGTGGTGGGGCTTAAACTGCAAGCATAAGGATGTCCGCAGCCTGCATAGCCGCATTCTACCGTCAAAACATAGAATGGCGGCCATGGATAGGATAACCACTAAAAATTTCAAAATCATACCCATCGTTCACAAAATTCCACGCTACTTGAGCTAGGGCATTTTGGGCAACCTTAAATTTTTTAATTGCCTCCACCAGGGGTTTGTATGGGTGGTTCACGTTCAGGTCAAAACCGAGTGTACCGAGAACCACCCTTTCTCCCAGCAGAATAAGTTCCTTTTGTTGTTCATATACTTCCTGCATATAGAATAGAACATCAAACTATTTATTCAAAAACATTAAGACTTGACTAAAAACAAATAAACAAAATATAAAGAGCACGAACAATAAACACAAAAAATCTAGAAGAACAAAGTACATGACCTTCTGTTTAATCCTTTGGGCAGCTGCAGGGTCTTTTTTATGAATGATTTCATACGAGACGAGAATGACATCTTGAGGACGTGGAGTTTCTTCAACCTTACCCGCGAGAAACATGCATACTGTGGCAATGGTCTGTAGGAAGTATGCAAACAAGGTAAACCCAATCAGAGATTCAATCATGTTTACATGTCAGTGCCATAGCTACCTATCGTTCCCAATATATAAGATGTCTATTTTTCTCCACATTACTAATTTATTTATATAGTTTTTCTTTTATACGGATTGGTCCAAGAAATCAATGTTTTAACAAGTTAAACTCGTACAATTTAACCTTCACAGGAAAAAAAAAAAAAAAAAAAAAA